AACAACAACAACAACAACAACAACAACAACCAAAACAGAAGCAGCAGCAACTTCATTTTCCTATCGTTGTGTCAGGAATTATTCTAAAGTCGGTGGATGCTCCGAATGGTTGGAAATGGCATTTGCAGCTAATTGACGACACGGGTCTGACTCATGGCTGTAGTCTGAAACACATGAGCAACACGTCAAACTTCGCACTCACAAATCTGCAAGAAAAACACCACTCTCTGCTCAATATGCATTGCTCCGCTAAATTCACCCTGTTTCAGTTGAGCTTCAGAAGGATTCTGGAATCTGACGGGATGTGTTAACTGGGTGGATGCATGCAAACTTGACTTGTTCTAGAAATTATAGACGTACTTTGGGAATTCTTCTGTTTCTGACACTTTACTGCTATTGATAATCCATCTACCAGGCTAAGCACTAGACAGGTTCGGGCAAGAAAACATTCATTCAATCAGAAATGAATGTGTACGTCATGCAAATGCTTGTTGGCCATGTTTGCCTGTTACTTGTCCTTTTCAGTGGAAGAGTGTATAGGTTGATGTGAAGTTAGACTCTTAAACATCATGTCTATACATCATGTCACAAACCAAACAGTGTCTGTGCTACAATAAATACATACATAGTAATCAAATGTTGGTGCCAGGTCCATGTTTTACCTCAGGTTTTGAGTTTTTACAGTTGCACACCAGTAACCTTATCATCATTACAGTCATAATGATAGTAGCTATGCACTGTGTGTTGGAGTATTATTCTTACACTCCTGTTATATCTATACTCTTGCTGTCACCACAGTGGTGTGTGTGAATGTTCAATTTTATTTATTCCTGCAAAAGGTGATGACCGTCGATGGAGAGTATATCACTTCGTTCGGGTCTCAGGGCAGCGCTTTTGGGCAGCTGTGCCAACCGCATGATGTCACTACAGATGCCTACGGCAATGTTCTAGTCGTAGATCATGGCAATGGACGTGTTATGGTAAGGGAGAGCTTGTTGTCGTGTTCTTCTTTCTAAATACCTACAGGCAGAGAGTAGTACCCAGTACATATACAACAGTGGAGCATGGTCAGTTTGTTGCTAGTCTGTGATTCATGGTCAGTACAATCATCAGACAACACTGATATGAACACAGAAAGTGATGTACACTGCATGCACAGAGTACAAGACAGTAAAGCAAGAGTACATTAGCTCTTACAGAATGTTGCTTTGCGTTCTTGAATCGTGGTTTGACCGTGTTGTCCAATGGTCTTTCCAGTATCGTCATCGACATGCATGAACATCCGCCAATATTGCATCATCCATACATCTGTACCTCTAAAAACTTTTGGAGACATTTAGGAAATATGGCGGAAAAAGTTGCGAGGTAAAATGCCACAAATTTCGTCCGATTTTGTTACTTGTAGTGTAGTGAGGTAGGATTGTGCTGCGCTGTACTCGATTACGACTGGGTTCAAGTGATGACAGGAGCTTGCAAGACAGTTTTCATCCATTCTCAGACAACACTCGACCCGAGCCTTATTTTCTTTGACTTTTCAGCCGCTGATTTGCCCAGAAACTTCTCCATTCTGGTATCGATCTCACAAGTTAACTACTGACGAGCTTGAAGAACTAAACAACATCGAAGAAAGACTCGAATATTGTGGGTGCTTTTCGAAATATCGCGGTGCTTTTCAAGTACGAAGGACAGTTTTCTACAATAATGCGGATTCTTTTTTCAAATATCGTGGATATCGCGGAATTTTGTTCAAATCGCGGAAAACAACGCGGTCACGGAACCGCAAGTTCCTGAAGGGACAGATACATCAACAATAATACATCATTCATACATCATCCATACATCACCATTAGGGTCCAGCGGATTATGCCGCGAGAAAAATTGGCAGAATTCTGTACTTTTCTGGTAAGTTTCATGCATGTTTGTATGTGGATAAAGAAATAGAGCTGAATTCGAGGAATTGCCCGCCATAAGGTTTGTATGGTTCTGCCAATTTTACTGCTTTTCGAGCAGAATCTGCCACCTTTTCGAGCAGAATCCGCCAGTCCCTAATCACCATGCATCAACCATCTATAATACGTGTTATTCCTGTACGCTCACCAGTGTTGTCCATGTTCTCTGCAGGTATATGCCACAGAAACTTACACACCACTGGCTGAGTTTGGAAAAGGAGAGCTGGACAAGCCGATGGGTGTCTGCGTGACAAGTGAGGGCTTAGTAGCTGTTTCCTGTGATGGAAGCCACAAGATTTTTGTGTTTTGAAGGTTTCTTGTTAGATTTCCAGCACCCTCTGTCACCATGTTACTTCTAGGCAACATATCTGTACAGTCATACATTAACACACATACACATACACATACACACACACACATACATCCTGGTCCTGGTAAACACTGCCATTACGGTCACGTGTCCCCTTACGGGGCCAACAATATAGAACGACGAGCGGGACCATGTTCGAGAGAGCCATCTCCAGCAGCTATGGATCTGGCTTATCATCGGAAACGATTCCTCTCACGGCTGCCGCTAGAACTGGTCCATCACTCTCCACAACAGAGCAAACATTCCATGAGCCAACGCTCAGAGTCGTTCCAAGTCGTCGTCTTCGTGCGGTAGTTTGCTCCACTCGCGGGCTTGCAAAGCCTCGCGAAGGACTCCGAGGTGGGGGCGACGAGGAGAGTGTCGGCATCGTAACTATCCGACCAAGTCTCCTGTCGGTGAATACCCCACCTCAGGCACTGTTGGCCTGGACGGCTGGGGACACCCCAGGCCGTCCACAACGGCCAGAACAAGCACGGACGGAGGCCAGAAACAAGAGCCCGAAAAAGTACAACCGTCCTCCACCAGAGCAGAGAACACACATACATACACACACGCACACATACACACACACACACACACACACACACACACACACACACACACACACACAAACGAGCACATACACACACATACACACACACACACACACACAAACGAGCACATACACACACATACACACACACACACACACACACACACACACACACACACACACACACACACCATTGACCATCCATTTGACGCCCATGGCCAGAGGTGATGATAGCGATGCTACAGCAGAAGCCATAGCCACTTGTGCTGGGATTGCACCATTCAAAAACTTCAAGCAAGGCTAAAGAATTGACCGCCACTATTCAGCCTGGTCTACACCACACAGCTATGAAGTGGCTTTTTCTGGCCAGTGAATCCCCCCCCCCCCCCACACACACACGCGCACACACACACATGCACACACACTCACACCATGCACACACACACGCATACACACACACCTCCGTTCCTACCTCCCCCCCCCCCAATTCCTTACCCACACACCCATCTTTCAATCAGTTCTTCATCGATTTTCTCTTACAAAACTTTCCACTCAAATGTGGCCTTTGCCTCCATTCATTTCCCACCATGCTCGCTGTTTTTGCCTGTCAGCATTCTCCGAGTCACATGAACTGAGTATTCAGTCCTGTACTGTTTTTGAAATTATTTTCTTAATTAAACAAACCAGTTTGATAGCACCACCAGTATTTCTTAGGTAGCTCCTGGATTCTTGATCCTTGTTCTTCCCGACTCGCAGGAGCTAGAATAATGTTCCCAGTTGTTAGAAAACTGTGTGTGTCCTCGGTGGTATACCGTTTTGCATTGCGACTAGTTTGAAAGAGTTCTGATTTATTGACTTATATATTTACTATTGTGGATTGCTTTCTTCCAGATCAATTATCCTGCTTCGAAGTATTAGAATTGCTAATCAACATTGCCTTGACTTGTGCACAAAGAGCTCATCCTTTTCCTTCTTCTGATTCTGTCGACTCTTAGATAGGCATGGGCGGATAATGCTAGTTATTTCCTGCGATTATGCTAAAGGTAATGCTCATAATTATGAGGATATAATGACACTTATAATGCTCACACTACTCCATAATGCCAGTTTGAAAGTTGGAAAAGTCGATTTAAGAAGGCTGTCTTGGATCAAGGCCAAAGCGTAGAAGAAAAAAACTTAAACAACAGTGTGCATGTTGTCTGAAACAATCCACTGAGAAAGTTGATTTGCAACGTCAAGTCTCCCGACGAAGCCGGATGGGTTCAGATGCACGATTTTCGGAACTGGACCTAGCCAGCATCATGCATGACACCGTTGTCGACCGGCAATTGTGCTTGTAATTCCAATTTTGCATGCGAAATGGTGTTTTAATGCCAGCATTATGCCAACTGGAAAAAAGGAACTATAATGCCAGCCATAATGCTAGCATTACCCACCCATGCCTACTCTTAGTGCCACGTACACATACATGGATGAGGCTTTGACGGCCGGCCATAGGGTGGTGTGTGTATGTGTGTGTGCGTGTGAGAGTGTGTACGTGGTGGATGTGTCTGCGTGTACCGTGTTTTTGTGTGTGTGTGTGTGTGTGTGTTTGTGTGTGTGTGTGAGTGTGTGTGTGTGTGTGTGTGTGTGTGTGTGTGTGTGTTTGTCACTCCGCGCCAGCTCCTGTTTGGTACGCTCCTTCCGCCGAGGCCGGCTTGCGGTCCTCGGAAACGGTGGCGAGACTCTGTCAGAGCTGACCTCTCCGCAGTGAACATCGACCACACGGAATGGTACGACCTCGCCCAGGAGCGTGGAAAATGGCGCAGTGCGTATTCCGCTCAACCAGTACCGCGATCGGCTCAGCGTGACACTTCTGTGCTCTGCGATGTCTGCCAGCGTACTTTCGCCCACCAGAAATACAAGAATCGCCACAAGTGCCTGGCCGAGAGGAGGAAACCCATATCTGAGCAGTCCGGCAGCCGACTATGTAATGCGTGCGGGAGATGGTTCTTGAGTGCTGGCGGGCTAGCTTCGCATAAGTGTCTCTCCAACTCGGCTGCTGAAGTGGCGTCGGTCTCGGCTGTGGCTTCGTCAGACTCGGTCCGGAAACAACGGGTTGCCCTGCCCTGCTGCAGAGCGCATTGTCTCGGCTGCGGTCGCTGCTGCAAGTCATTCCGTGGTTTCGACCTGCATAGCTGTGCTAATTTCCTGTCCAGGAGGTAGAGCGGCGTTTCTGGATCCAATGCTGAACTCAGTGCTGTCTTCCCCTGCACAGGGGACACGTGACCATTTGATTGCAGTGTTACCAAGGATCAAGGTGTGTGTGTGTATGTATGTGTCAAACAAAATTCAATGCACATATCCCAGTGTATTGAATATCAGCTTCTCTTCTCAGCACACTGTCTATACATGTTCATGTTATGAATACACCAGGAACTGTACCGTATGCATATCTACTGCCTTATTCATTTCTATAGACATGCATTCTGTATCTGATCTAGGATTTCAAACCAACCGGGCACACGTACACGTAGATATACGGCACAACTCTTGCAGTCGGGTCAGAGCCGGGTCTGGTCAAGTGCAGTTACTGCATGTAGATCTACATAGATCTGCGTATACATCACATGTACATGTATATTCATTTTGGTCTCTAGCTAGCACTAGTAGCAGGATTGTCTCTTGTCCACGCACTGTCATAGTATGACTTTCATCCTTTGAGCAACTCTCTTCAACTTTCACTTCACTTGCCTGCAACGACGCTTCACCAGCACTCTCCAGAATACGGGTTCGCACTCTTCCATTTATGGGTCCAAGAAAGGCAAAACAGGAAGTAAAGTTCAAAAAGCCCACATTTTACAGCATTGTGTACAAGCTTCATCAACTAACTTGTTGCCCCCAAAAAAGCGGCGTGCCAAGGCCCGGCCCATCGAGCACTCGGAAACTGTGATCGCAAGCATGAGCAAACAGATTTTAGCACTTTTTCAGCTAAAAGAGCTCAAAAAGGGCGATATTCACCAAAAAACGCAATAAAGGGCGAAAGAAACGGGCTTTTCCAAAAAGGGCCAAAAAGGGCGAAAAAAGGGCGAGCACCTTTGGGAAAGGGCTACTAGCCGAACATTTGTTTGGCATGATACTAGAATTATGCATCAAAGAGACTAAATGTACCAGTACTTGATTTGCTGATGATGTAGCATATTCTGTACTATGCGATGAATTACTCTAACATCACTTTAAAAACTTGAGTTTTCTCCCTCTTGTATGCTCTTTTAGCCCCTTCCCTCACACAAGCAAGTCAAGAGAGAGGTTGCGCACAGCGGAAATTCGTAGCGCCGTAACGAATATTTTTTAACGAAAGGTAAGGAATATTCGAAAACCGTGAGGTTGGGCACAGCGCTTGAACTTTTTTCGTAGTGCGTCGACGCGGCAGCCGCGCGGGGGCGAAGAGTCAAGACAGAGAGTTGTAAAATATCAGTATTTTAGTACTCAAGGTAACGAAAAGTATTTGCGTAGATCTGCTCTGTTTCGGTCAAGTTTGGACGGATCTTCGGAGCAACTTTCGTTACTCGAACCCGGCCGGTCGAAATTTCATTGTGCGCAACCTCTCTAGTAACTCGCGAGGTATCTTTGGATTGATTAGCGCTGGATTCGCAACACCTGGTAAAGTTTGTTTGATTCCTTGATGATGTTATGGCCTGGAGAGCACGATGAAAGACAAGTACATGTAGTGGTCTTCCAGCGCAGTCTTTCTCAGCCTACTCAAGCTCAACTGATGAGAGATAAATTCCACAAAACACTGACTGTGCATTGAACAGGGACTGGTGCTTTCTTGCAACTTTGCCCGGTCCAAGGCTCCATGGGTATGGCGTGTGCCTTGGATGGCAGTCGTCAAGCCGTCAACTGGCGTCGAGTGTCAAGCCAAGTCAGTGACCAGGTGACAGTTCACTGACACTGACAGACTCAGTGGATAGCACGATCTTCAGGCTAGGGTCCGTAGGGATCTGACTAGGGCGCAACCAACAGTTTCCATGGTTTCGTTCCCTGTATTGTGGATTTGTTTTGTTTGATGACGTCAACAGATGTACAGGCATACATGTATCTGCCTACTCGCCACTCGCCAGTCAGTTTGTGGTCGACCGCCCAGCTAGCCAGGCAGACTAGCTGTCCACGATCCATGACAGCTTCATTTTTATGCGGTACTGCACTGGGTAGGTCTACTGGAGGATTGCTTTCCGAAATGCTTACGAACGGGGCCTTTTCAGCACGCGGCTGCGCCGTTTGCGGTACCGGTGGCCGATTGCGATCAAAACGTTCACCAACTGTTGAGGCGAGAGACAGCTAGCTCTTCATGTCTGCACCTGTACATGATATTGTATTTGTAGACTGCAAACAGGGAGGTGAGAACGGGAATGCATACCCCAGTGCGGAACGGGACTAAACTTCAGTCTGTAGTCTACAGACTACACACACACACACACACACACACACACACACACACACACACACACACACACACACACACACACACACACACACACACACACACACACACACACACACCCACACACACACACACACACACTCAATGCAGTGTACGTCTAACGCCATAACAAGGTGCTGAACACTCGCAGACACAATCAAACACACAGTGGCGGGAGCAAGACGATTGTGTGTTACACTATTATAATGCAATGGCAAGGTTCAACTTTGAGACTCAGCTCCAAGAGATACTTGGTGTCCCAGACTCAATTTGGCTGGGATGCGTCCAAGTTGACCTGAACAAACCCGAGATAGGCCGTGGCTCGGATGCCACTGTGTATACAAGTGAGTTGGAGGGTCTCCCTGTTGCTGTGAAGGTCTTACATAGTATTTTACTCCAACAGGGCAATGTCGGGCGTGCAGCTCTTCTGCAGCGATTCGGCACTGAGTGCCTAGTCATGCGGCGACTGCAGCATGAAAGAATTGTGCGACTGCTCGGGATCGGCATTGCTCCCAATCAATCTCCGTGTATAGTGGTAGAACTGATGGCCGGCTCGCTAGGTGATCGAATTGGAGCTGTTCCAAGAGAGCCATTCGCGCAAAGCCTTCAGTATCTTGTCGACACGGCGGAAGGTTTGCGTTTTCTGCACGGCAAGAACATTTTGCATCGCGATTTGAAACCCCACAACATCTTGATCACGGCAGGGAGAGCCAAGATAGCTGATGTAGGTTTGGCCCGCTCTCTTCACGGTGGTCAAGGTGCAGACTTGACAACTCTGACACGGTGCCCCGGTACGCCTTATTTTATGCCGCCAGAGAGCCTGCAAGTGGGCACAACATACGACGAAAAACTGGATGTGTTTTCTCTAGGAGTGGTGATGCTGTCGCTGCTTGTGGGACGACCGCCTTCCCCAACTGAAGCTACTGTTCTGCTGGAGAATGGAACGCGGAGATCAGTTCCGGAGGGTCGCCGACGCAAAGCAGATCTGGATCGACTGGGCTCGGATCACCCACTGCATTCTCTAATCGTGTCGTGTCTGCATGATGATCCTGGATCTAGACCCACATCGGCTGATGTTCACATGCACTTACTGCAGATCTCACCTCGCTCTATGGTATGGATGTACTCACATAGTATAACATGACTTTGTACTCACTGTGCTGTACTGTTAGCATACAGCCTAGCTGGGTATACATGCAATGTGTAAATGTGTAAATGTGTAAATGGGCAATACTGGCTGATGTATGCCTGAATGGTGCAGCTACCAGAGCATACATTAGACCTGGCTTTGCCCATGTACACACTCATACTCTGAGGGCACGTTCGCCAAATTGTCACTCTTTGACTTTTCCAGGAGATTCGTTTTTCTGAAGAGGTGGCCTTATGGGCCTCTTCAGAAAAACGAACTCCTCGAAACTCCACAACCTCGTCCGATGGGAGGGGTGGATTAGTTCCGAAGAGTTTTATATGGCTACGTCACGTAGTACGTGGAGATGGTCGATCTGATCGGACGTCATCATCGCCAAGACAATTCGACTGAAAAATTTGTTCGAACAGTTGATGAAGACAATTCGAACGCCCCCTAAGTCTTAGCTGGCTGTGCAGCATGACATTTTATTACACATGATAAGGATCCTGATATTTCAGTGGAGGCGGCGCACCCTGTCTGGACTGTTACACTTCAACAAAGCAAAACACTGACGTGTGCAAGATGATTGTATTGAAAAACACAGGCCTCACAATAACATGCTGGCTGGTGACTGGCTGTTCCCATGACATCAGCCATGTGACGTGTACATAGCAGTAGTGTGCATCTGCAGTATGCATAGTATAGCCCAGTGAAATTATGTAATCAACTGGGGGGGGGGGGTTGTTATAGATTTGTATAGGTCCCTTATCCAGAATGATAACATGAAAACATAAAGTAGTGGATCAGAGCCCTGAAGGGTCGTCCGTGATTAAAAAATTAAAAAATCCGTCCTCATACAAAAGGGGTTGGGCGGTCAGGAGTGCTCGCGGAATTTAATTTTTTTATTTTTCCGAGTCCAATTTTCATAAACCTTTTTTTGCTTCAGTGACTTTCATACAGTTGTTGCACTGACTGTGCAGTGTACTGACTGTACTCGTAATGTCGCAAACACCAGTATGATGAACATGTAGTTGTAGGACGTGCATGGCCGTTGGTAGACCTGCTAAAACAAAAACAAACAAAAACCAGAAACAAAACAAAACAAACTAGTACAGTAGCTACTAGTACAATGTACCTGACACAGGTGCAGTCAGTGACCCTGGGGTCAGGAGTTCTTATTTTCTAGCTGGGCATTGGGAAAAATCAAAAAATTAATGGGAAAAAATGGGGCAGGCTGGGTGGGTTAGAGACAATTTTGCACGAGGGTGGATTTTTTTAATTTTCGATAATTACGGACGAGACTCCTAAATCCATAATAGCAGTGACCAGTTAGTACTACTCAATATACAGAGATTACTGCTCCACTCCGTCAATTTTGAATTCTTCCTTGCAAAATAATTGAATGCTCTCTTTCGGATTTGTGAAATTGTCTCGTTGTACTACACACCACGGATTTTTGTGTTTTCTGTGATCCATAGGTAGACATGCTTCAATTGGGTGCACGCAGAGCATATGAATCCGGACCATAGTGTGTGTGTGTGTGTGTGTGTGTGTTTGCGTGTGTATTGTATTGTATTGTATTTATTTAAAAGGATTCTCCAAAAGCAAATGGATGCTTATCACGGAAGTCTCCCACATAAATATCGCAAGAAAAATGGGGAAATGGGGGAGAGGAGAGTGGAAGATGAAGGATGGGAAGAAGGGAAACAAGTACCTAAATATCGAGGTATAAAAGCAGGAAAGAAATCGACGAGGGAAGAAATCACCTCAGCAGATAATAGCGGGACATTTAGATGAAAAAAAACTAGTATGCGTGTGCATGTGTGTGTTTGTGTGTGAATATGTGTGAATGTGTGTATGTGTGTGTGTGTATGCGTGTGCTTGTGCATGTGTGTGTTTGTGTGTGAATATATGTGTTTGTGAATACACAAAGGTCAAAAAGAATGGTTCCACCAATTTTATATACATACGTTGTGACGCTGCGTTTCATGCACGTAGCTAAATGCTAAGGCAATCATCACCAGACATCAGACAACTAATGCTTTTGTCGCGGGATAGCTTGTTCTTATTGTGGGGGATACGCATGGGCATGTAGAGGAGGTGTGAGTTATCAATGCAGGGCATGCATGGGAAGAGTGAGTGATGAGAATTACATTACAGGATGGGCATGCGCGGTAGGCGCGAACTATGCATGGAGCATGCAGAGGCGGAGAAACCACCAGGCAGGACAAGGGTAAGCCATGGGGGCACTGGGCGATTCCATCCCGCGACAGCGCGTCCACTACAGCGCGAGGCATTTCAGAGCGACCACTTCAGCGCAAAGCACTTTCGCGTGTACTATAGTACGCAGTACTAGTATCTTACGCATTGTCGTACGCACGGAATTAGTGGTCTCGTCTGCACTCTCGCTAGCGGAATTTGGTGATTTGGTGATTCTTTGACAAACTTGTTTTCACATAAGAAAGGGTTTGCTCCCCACACCGGAGCTCGCGCTATTCCACCGACTTTACTTGACACTTGACTGACTCACGACTGCCATCCAGAGCACACGAGAAGTCCATCGAACCTTCGACTCGGCAAACCTGCAAGAAAGCACCACTCCCTGCTCAATACACAGTGTTTCGGGGAGTCAGTCAAGTGTCAAGTAAAGTCGGCGGAATAGCGCGAGCTCCGGTGTGGGGAGCAAACCCTTTCTTACAAGTCATCGCCGAAGTCGCCACCACTACTTCGTACTGTTTTCACATAGTTTGAATTATTTAGTTGGCATATAGCGATATGACAAGAGAATCCGTAGATTAGAAATGATGAAGTTGACCAACATTCGAAAAAAATTCAAAATTAGTGATTTCTCCAATTGCACGTCTGACTTCCAGGACGCGAACTCGATCTTTAAGTCAAGTGGATGAAGCTTTCCCAGCTGGGATGCGCTGGCCAGCTTGCATCTGGCTGGCAAGAAGCTCCGTACGCAAAGCCTCTATCTTCAGTTTCTCCAACAGCATCCATACGTTGGGGCGGGTGATGTTCACCTTTCGGCTAAATCGATGGTGCCATCCCTCAACACTGTTGTTGGTCCTGACGTCCCTTCCATGGCAGCACCTTAGCGACATCGGAACATTAGCATTCTCAATCCAACCAATCGAAGGCGGCTGTGACCTGGTCTTCTGGCAGGAATGGCAATGCCATCAGTTGACGACAGCAGTCCTGTAGGTTACCAGCACTGTAAAGTTCCTGCATGCGGCGTGATGCCGGCTGCCGGCTAATTGGTGCCCGTACGTACATTAACATGTACGGCGCTGAAGTGCCTCCCGCGGAAAAAATCTGCGCTGAAGAAATTGGCGCTGATATGTCCTGCGTTTAAATCGCGCTGAAATCATTGGCGCTGTCAAGACACGGCGCTGAAATGGCACCGAGCTGAAATGCCTCGCGCTAAGGCGGTCGCGCTGAAGTGCACCGCGCTAACATGGACGCGCTATCGCGGGAGGTTACCCAGTGGGCAGGGGTGTGATGTTTTGCGGTGGAAGCACACTGTGGTGTCCACATTCCACAGCCGCAGGTATTCAGAGGATGTGGCGGTGATAGTGGTAGCGCGCGGTGGCTATGTCACGGCAGAGTAGGTGGAGAGGTAAAACTTGTTTTGGTGTCTCACACCTCCTCTACATGCCCATGCGTATCCCCCACAATAAGAACAAGCTATCCCGCGACAAAAGCATTTGTATTGTATTCTATTATTTTACTTGGGCATTCCCAACAGACCCTCAGGTCTTCTTACAGGGTGCCCAAGATTAATGAAATTGTTAAGCTCCTGGCGAAATGAATTGGGGATATGATTTGTGTGAAGGGATTCGGGAAGCGCATTAAAGCGGTCAGCACCAAGGAATGAAATAGATCGGTATCCAGCTTGAGCTTGCACAATGGGTAAGGAAAGGGAACAATTGACTTGGCCGCGGGTTACTCTATCTGTGTGAGCGCAGTCACGGCGAAGGGAGAACATGTCAGAGAGGAGTGAACTGCAGATATTGTGGATGCAACGGAACACGAAGAATATGGACTTAGTATGATCTATTTTTGTCTAAGCTACTTATGTGGTATCGCTCAAGCAAGTATGATGTCCGCGTGAATGTGTCATGCTCGAATATGCATCTAAGTGCTCTCTTACTTATGCGTAGCAGCTGATCTCTCACTTTGTCAGCGAGGCAGTGCTGGCGTACTCGAGCTTGCTCTGGACTACTGACACGTAGAACTGCCTTCTGGCCTGGGCAGCAATGTTCCTCCTTCCACGTCGAAAAGCACCTAGTTTCTTTCCGATGTCTTCCCTGAGGGAGTTAACGTGGGCACTGAAACTTAAAGTTGAATCGAGAGTCAGTCCTAGATACTTCACTTCGTCAGACGGGGCAATAACAGTCGAACCACAGACAATGCTCAGGTTAGGTGGAGGATGTGAGCGTCTGCTGTGGATCAGTAGTACTTGGCTCTTGCTGGAGTTCAGGAGCAGGCCGCGATCTGTGAGGTGCTGCTTCACCACTGAAAAATCTTCTTCTAAGTAAGACATGAGAATTTGTGGACACTTTCCAGAGGCATACAGGGTGGTGTCGTCTGCATAAAGGAGGCATTGGTAACGCAATGGCAGAGTGGGGACAAGTCGAGTGTAGATGCTGAAGAGGGTAGGGCCTAGGACGGAACCCTGGGGAACGCCCCTAGTGCAGGTTCTACAGTCACTTGTGGTTCCGTTCATTTCTACGTGTTGCTGTCGGTGAGACAGATACGACTTGAACCAGTCAAGAGCATTTCCACGGATCTTCAGATTGTGAAGGTCATCTATTAGTGTTTGGTAGTGGACGCGGTCAAAGGCTTTGCTCATATCGAGCAGCAGTACGGCCGTATAGTCTCCGGTATCCATGCTTCTCTGCCAGTTATTGATGGCAAGTGTTAACAGGTCCTCAGTACTGTGGTTCCGCCTGTATGCAAACTGTTCATTTGGAATTTCTCCGGGTGTGATGTCCAGATGGTCATGAAGCTGCTGGAGCACTAGTGATTCCAAGACTTTGGAGATAATGGGCAGTAGCGAGACTGGGCGATAGTTGGACCTGTCGTAGTGGTCGCCTATCTTAAACACTGGATACACAGACGCTAGTTTGTAGGCTGACGGTATCTTTCCGCTAGACAATGACTGGTTGAAGATGGAAATTAAGGAATTGGCCAGCTCGGCGGCATGGTGTTTCAAGATGTAAGCTGGTATGCCGTCTGATCCAGATGCTTTCGTGGTATTCAATCGTTTGAGAATCTTCATTACTGCTGCTGTTGTAACGGGTTGGAACTCGAGAAGGCAGTTGTCTAACCAGTCGTCCGCCGGAGTGTCTGGGGTCGTAAGAGCAGCGCGGTGTTCTTCATGGAAGATATTGCCTAGGGTATCTGACTAAGATGAGAGTGAGGCTTTCGGTGTGGGGAGGAATTTTCTCCTTCCAGTTATGTGATTCAGCACTGCCCATTGGAGTCTAGGATTTCCTGTAGCGGCACTGAACTTATCCTTGTAGTACACACTTTTCAGTTTGCGGTTTAGTAAAGTTCCTTGACGACGTATTGCACGATACTGCTGTCGGAGGCGGTCATCCATGGGGTGCTTTATAAAGGCGCGATGGGCTGAGCTTCATCGATGAAACATCTGTTTCAGCTCTGGGGTGACCCAGGGCTGGGGGCGGGGTTTGGAATAAGCTGCGCGCTTCTGGGTAACGAATGGTGCAAGATCATCTAGTACCGTCATGACACTTTGTTGCCAGTGGCTTGCCGCTGCATCTAGAGCATAACCGCCGGATATATCGGAGGGGTCAAGGATGTGTGTTAGAGCTGCAGACGTTACACTACGGTCAAGGTGAGCCAGGCTAGGTTGGCGTCTTGGAGAGAATTGCTCGTGTGGCTGTTCAAAGTTAGCTCTACTAACACGGACAGAGAGGCCAATAAGATGGTGGTCGGACAAGCCATCGACGCTGTGAACAAATGTACTATGAAGAGACATGGGAGAGGGAGACGGAGCAGCCGTTGTCATTATTGTCGCTATGAGTGCAAGGTCTAGGCATGACTGACTAGGAACTCTGGTGGGCTGTAGTATGACGTTGTGTAAGCTGTGGTCAGCGCAGAGGCCATTAGTTGTCTGATGATTGCCTTAGCATTTAGCTACGTGCATGAAACGCAGCGTTACAACGTATGCATAATTATATAATTGGTGGAACAATTCTTTTTTTACCTTTGTGGTTATGCTCCCCCCTTGTGGTGTTGAGCACTGTTGAAACCTGGGTATACCCACTTATGTGTGTGTGAATATATGTGTTTGTGAATATGTGTGTTTGTGTATGGTGTTATTTTTTACGTGTCTCTCTAGTCCGCAGATCGCTATTTGAGTCAGTTTGCAGACATTCTGACTCAACTGCAAACGATCGCCACACAACAGCAGGCAATCATCACCCGAGTGACAGCTGTGGAAGAGAAAGTGAACGGCATGGATGCATTGAGGGAGAGAGTTTCCACCATCGACACTAACCTCAGTGCCCACTCCTCAACTCTCGCTTCACTCAACTCCAACGTGGATACACGCTTGGCTGCAGTGGACTCACGCTTTGCTGCATCGGATTCACGCTTTGCTGCCCTGGAGTTACTTGCCTCCAGGCAGTTGTCACCTTCACCATCAACTGCATCATCATCAGCAGCAGCAGTAGTAGCTGCATCTCAACCATGGAAGGTTGGTCTACTTTTGAAAGGCTTACTTTTACAAGTACAAGTTTATGCGACGGTGTATCAAATTTCTCCTACAGTCTGTTGCCCTGCATGACTGGGTGTGTAGTGGTACGTGTATGACGTCATCATGCATTAGTTGAGTATAGTTTACATACACACAACACTGGTGTGTGTTCAAGTCTGAGTTTCACTATGCAGGGCAAAACCATGAGTATATATGACTAGTTATGCCACAAATGATATTAGTTTAGTCCTTTCCTTTGTTCGTTTTGCTGCCGACTACATTGTTGTTGCCTCAAGGTTGAGTTGTGGTCATGGCAGCGCTTGAAACTGCTTTGTCATGGACACTCCGGAGGATTGATAGCGCTGCCCATTCTGATCAATTCTGTAGGGTTGTATAGTCAAAAATGTGTTCCCTCACCTTAGGGTGATGTATATCCTATCATCTACTCCTTATACGAAACATGAGGTCAATGAAAATTTGAAATCGAAGTATGAAGTGTATGACCACCCAGCCAGGTTTGACATCACTACTTTCTCCCTCTATGGTCCTAGTGTTGTTTGGTGTTGTTCTTACTGCTCTCCTGTACTGCAGCGTGATTACACACAGATCCGCAAATCAAGGTACTCATTTGGTAGATATGGCAGTGGGAGAGATCAGTTTAACTGTCCTAGCGGACTAGCAACCAACAAAGCTGGTGACCTGATCTTCTGTGACACCCGCAACCACAGAATAAAGGTAACTGAACTCACAGTACAATGCTAACCGACAAGTACAGTTTTGTATATAAATGTCACTCTGATAGATGACCTGCTCAGGAGGGTCTGTGTGTGCATTTGTATAATTGAAAAATAAGGATCCCAATTGGTCAGGTTGAAGATGCTCAAGAATGTCTCAAACAGTAGTAGACAATCCCTTGGATGAATTCTTCAACATTCTAAATTTTACGTTATTGCACCATCCAGTTAACCTGTACACCCAGTGAACACAAGAGCTGAGAAGTTGATATGAGCAGAATGTCATTTCTCTTCGGAAGTGATCAGTTTTTCTAAACTATCAAACTGGAGAAAGGTGATCATTGTAAATCACAAAAGACTTTGAATACCTGTGACACCCCCACTCGTTAATATTTTCTTGGCCGAGCCATTCCGATTTTTATTTTATTTTATTTTTACTAAGTACACAACCTACTCGTTAGAAGGGGAGAAGACAACAGAGTATACAATAACAAAACAGCAGGGAGAGTAGGGGCTGCAAAGCAAGCCTGTGCTGGTGAGGCAAGCCCACAACACCAACCTATGGTCTCGGCGTTAACGTGAGCTTGCGCACCATAGCCTAAAAGAAGGGGGTGATTTAGCGATAAAGACAAGAGAAGGTTAGGTAGAATGGTTGAGAAGAGAGAGAGATAGAGAGAGGGGGGGGGGGGTGGAGAGAGAACAAGAAGAGAGAAAAATAGATTCAAAGGCAGTTCAGATGCACTGGACATGATGCAATGCTTTGGGGGGGGGGGGGGGAGCTTCAAGATGGAAATAGTTCTGAACTGTTAGAGGGAGTCTGTGGCCCAAAGCCACTGGCTGCGGCGAAGATTGTAGTGGACGTTCGCTTTGAAGGATTGTAGGCCCTTAGGAGATTGCACATCACCACCGCAACGAGGACATTTACATTGTGATATTGATATCTCAGACCCTGAAGGCAGCTGCTTTGCTCCAACCGAGCTCATCAGTGCTGGTTGGTAATAGTGGATGATTCGGATGAAATGAGTGATTGATGTTGTATAGGGGAAAACTTTCACAATTTTACACTTTCCGAGTCTCTAGTGTGACATGCCCTAGCAAACAAAGGGGTTAGGTGATAACCGACAGTTTTATCAGATGTGACAATACAAGCGTGCAGTGCTTGGACATTCAGCACTCGTATGTATGAGTGGCTATTGGCTACTAGTAGCACCTCTCTTTGTTTGTTGATTTTGCACCAATTCTAGTACTGCAGACGACCTGAAAGCATGTCCCAGTAACGCACACTTGCACTGTCTGTTATCACCTAAAGCCTCAGTGTCCTATAGCATGCCACACTTCGATGTAGAAAGCGCACAATTGCGACTGTTTTACCCTCTTATAACATTATCCCTTCATCCGGATCATCCACTATTACCAACCTCTACTGATGAGCTCTGTTGGACCAAAAAGCTATCTGGAGGGTCTGAAAAGTCAATATCTCAACTAAAGTGTCCTGGCTGTGGTGGTGATGTGCAAGTGGAATGGGGTGGCCGACAGCACATTGGGCGTGTAAGTGTGACCGACATTTTTGGACGAGCTTTTCGCTAGATTTACACTATAGAACTGCAACCAAATGTTTACTACATGTATGTTTGGATCTGGGCTATGTATGGGTGCATGGTTGTGTTAACATTTGTAAATTGTATTCCTTTTTGTCAATACACTTAGATACACGGTGTTGATGGCCAGTTCAAGCAGACGACTGGTCGGAAGGGTACAAACTGTGGAGAGTTCGATTTCCCAACAGCCGTGCATGTAACAGATGATGAACGAGTGATCATTGCTGATGCTTCCAACCACCGACTACAGGTATGGTTTCGGTGTTCCAATCATGTTGTAAGGATTACATGTAAACAGCAGCCTCTTTTACGTGCAAAATTGATCAACAATGCAGTAAAGCCAGCTGCTCAGAAAAACTTCAAAAGGCCCAGAGAAACAAAAGAGAAAACCCGCACACGGTGGGGGGCCGTCCGTAAATTCATGTATTTACTTAGAGACATCTAGTAGGCGTTTCTTTCTTGACCCACCCACCCCCAGCAATGCCCCCCCCCCAAAATGCAGATAAAAAAGTTATCGTGTCCGTTCCCGAAGGGAACTCACGACAACCGCTATTATATAACACCCAGTAATACCACTCATAATAAACACCATGCATTGCTATGAACACATAATTATACAGTACAGTTGACTCCACATATAACGAACTCGCATATTAACGAATTTCGTGGTATAGCAAACCCTTGTCCATGTCCCTGTTTGAACCCAAACAAAATTGACGCTTTATAGCGAACAGTTTTCGTTATAACGAACCAAATCTTGTAGGGTCGCATGTACATGTAAAGCAAGTGCACCTGAGTCATACTGTCATGGGCTACATGTGCACCTGAACCTGAAACCAAGCCCAAGAATCCTGTTTCACACCTACAAGTCTGCTGGTAGCTAGCTGAATGTCACTGCATGCAAGCGCATGTTTCTGGGAGTACAGAGCATGGCTGTGTATTGTGTCCCTGTCTACTCTGCTGTGATGCGTGTAGTGCAGTGTAGTGCATCTCAACGCCTACCTGTACTAGCTGTAGCACTGCTACATCATGTACATGTACACACGCGGTATGGTATGCATGCACTCTGAAATGTATTTTTTAGAAACGCCTTGCAGGCGAACCCACCACAAACGCCTGTTAGACGTCTCTAAGTAAATACATGTGTTTACAGACGACCCCTGAGTAATCAACAACATACAATTACACATACATGGAAATTTTACACAAACTATTGTTGTCATTGGATACCCACATTATAACCCATACAGAAGTAAATACCTCTTTGTAATACAATTTTATTGAAATGGTTTTCTTGCTGCAATGATGAGCACTTACTAACTAATGGCTCATGTTGCGAGCAAAACCTGTATTTGTTGTGCAGCACCACTGTTATTTCACACACACTCTCTCCTCTTCATACATTGGTCCACACATGTTAACACCCAAACACACACTTACACTAACATACACTCACACACGCTCAACCACCCACCCGCAGAATACACACTCAAAAACCTGTGCACATACCTGCATACATCCATTCTCTCTCAAGTGTACACAGAACCACACACACTGCCAACTTGTGACATTTCATGACCATAAACGACGAAAGGAGAGCAGATACCAGGTAGAACACAGGATTGAGCCACATTGCAAGGAGATAGAAATGTGTTGCTTCTCCACACATGTGTGGCAAGCAAGGTAGCAGAGTTTGGAGAAGAATCATCAACAGAACAATGAAGCAGACTATCGACATTGTTGGTGGTGTCAGTCAGTCCGGAGAAGCCCAATTCATGACCGTCGTAAACCACTACATTCTGCCATCAGCCATCTATGACCGACAGAAGACGGGGATGTCCCTAGCTTTTAAGTCATGAGTAGTTGCATCCCATCGCCTGTATTTTTCTAACTTGGACAACATCTCAAAGAAGTATTGGGCAGCTGTCCAAACAGGAGTTGATTGGAAATCTGGGAGTTTTGGCATTCTGGCAAGGTGACCTAGCCCCTCAGGGCAATGCTGGCCAAAGCATGTTGAAATATCTGGTTTCATGGACTGCTGTCAGAAGAGTCCAGCACTCATTACTATTCACTAGGATGGAGGTTATACAGGAACAGTAAGATGTTATTTGGTGCATAGGGACAGGTTTCGTGGACAAAACACATCACAGTTCACTAAAGGCATTTTGTGCTTCAACATTGCACCGGTGCAATTCTCTTTTAGCGAGTAAACCGGTGTAGCAACAGAACCAACGTAGAGAGGAATAGGGGCAAATCCTCTGTTGCCTTCCCTTTCACAACAACAATGTTGCCGATGTCAGATGGTGCGATGTTCCTTTCAGCCACAAGGAATTTTTTATCTTATCGACATTGATATTTAAAGCCCAACAAACAGACACATCCGGCAACATGCACAGACCCCCTACACGAAAAAACACATCTGAACACACACACGCTACTACTACTACTACTACTACTACTACTACTACTACTACTACTACTACTACTACTACTACTACTACTACTACTACTACTACTACTACTACTACTACTACTACTACTACTACTACTACTACTACTACTACTACTACTACTACTACTACTACTACTACTACTACTACTACTACTACTACTACTACTACTACTACTACTACTACTACTACTACTACTACTACTACTACTACTACTACTACTACTACTACTACTACTACTACTACTACTACTACTACTACTACTACTACTACTACTACTACTACTACTACTACTACTACTACTACTACTACTACTACTACTACTACTACTACTACTACTACTACTACTACTACTACTACTACTACTACTACTACTACTACTACTACTACTACTACTACTACTACTACTACTACTACTACTACTACTACTACTACTACTACTACTACTACTACTACTACTACTACTACTACTACTACTACTACTACTACTACTACTACTACTACTACTACTACTACTACTACTACTACTACTACTACTACTACTACTACTACTACTACTACTACTACTACTACTACTACTACTACTACTACTACTACTACTACTACTACTACTACTACTACTACTACAACTACTACTACTAGCAGCATGACTGCCCAGATGGGCAAGTGTCACCCCTATGAAAAGGGGACCAGAAAACGGGAGTCGGATCACAAGCAGGACCGCGAATGTCTGGCTAGGTCCTGCTGCCGGCAGAAATTGCGTTTACAATGAGGGCAGCTGAGGGGCAGAGCTGCTCTCTCAGCAGCAGATGGTCTCGCACCACGATTGCAGTTGTGACGCTTGAACCCGGCCGCAGAACGGAAGCATCGCTGACATGTTGGGCAGTGCTGCTGGCAACAAGCTGAAAGTGGCACAGACAGACTAGACTGACTGTTGATGTGGGAGAACTCGTGACCCCCCCCCCCCCCCACACACCTCAGACCTCAGACATGCCCATCGCGGGAGCGATGATAGCGAACAGCTATGTTAGACATAGCAACTTGTGCTGGGATTACACCATTCAACAGCTTGCAAGGCTGATGAATTGACCGCCACTATTTTTAGCCTGGTATCCACCACACAGCTGTTTGAAGTGACTTTTTCTGGCCAGTGAATCCCACACACGCACACACACACACAAACCCCCACACACAAGTACGAGTATACTAGCCTTATACGAGTGTTTTTTTCTACAATTTGTATGATCACCACCTCGTTTACTAGCCTTCTTACTTAGTTTTATCACATTCATCAGCAACTCTTATGTGTCTATTGTATCACCACAAGACTACTTAACCTTTGTATGTTCACCGCTCACCCTTACTTTGTATGTTCACCGCTTACCCTTACTTTGTATGTTCACCGCTTACCCTTACTTTGTATGTTCACCGCTTACCCTTACTTGTATGTTCACCGCTTACCCTTACTTTGTATGTGTGTCGCTTACCCTTACAGTAACTTGTAAGTAGTTCCATAAAGTAGTAAAGTAGTTCCGTAAAGTCCACTGATGACTGCAGCAGAGTTAAACAGGGTCTGTAATTACACACCCTGTTTAACTCTAAACGCGTTTACTTGCATGGTAATGTCTCTGGCACTAATACTGCTTATAGTGCTAATTATACTTTTGTCTCCTCGAAAACTGTACGAAGAATTTGACGAGGTTATTTGCCATTTCTAAATCATCTTGATTTCTCCTGTCCATCTCCATGCCCCCTCTGCAGATCACTGACAAGGACTTCTCCAAGTTCAGCACCAGAGGAAGTTTTGGATCAGGAATTGGCGAGTTCAATTTCCCAGCTGGTGTTGTCCTAGTGAACCACAGCGCACTGGGCCAGTGCCTTGCTGTGACTGATACATGTAACCATCGGGTTCAGGTAATAACCAGACAGTACACACTGTACATGTACAGTTGTATTGTGTAAAATCCCTCTCCTACCCACTAACAGTGTACTGTGGTATACATAAAGATAGAACTAGCCTATATCACTGTTCAGCATCAAGTTGTGGGACTGTTTTCAATCATGTAACAGCAGGTCAAGCATATATTCTTAACACAGTACAATCCCAGTTGATAACTTTAGTGGAAGTCAATTGTGCCATAATTATGCATTGGCAAGCATGCATGTATGCGGGCTGGGAGGGGGGGGGGGGGGAGGGGGAGTTGCATGTTTGATGGGTGTGTCAGCTAGTTCTGCTGGTGGGTGCTCTAAAGCCAGATTGTGACTGCGTGTGTTGCCATCTACTATACATGTATTACAGTATTACGTTCACTGGGGGGGGGGGGGGGGGGGAGGTAAGTGCTGTTAAACCCTTTTCTGCACCATGCCCTAAACCACTCACACATGTGTGGTGAGCCTCTAAGTGGAATAATTTCCCCGAAGTCCATCCAGAGTAAGTCGATTTCAGTATAAGTTATCTTCCGTTGGATGGATCGATAGGCAATCCATCATCTCAAGATGCCTTTGAATCCCTTGCCCTTTAAGCTTTGGAAATGAGCATGTAAAAGGACAAGCGCATTGGTATGCAGGTCGGGGGCATTGGTGGGACGTGTGTGGGTGGAGCCGTTTGAGTGTGGGTGAGCGGGTCAATTTGGCTGGTGTTTGTGTGTGGGGGCTTGAGGGTGTGTACACGATTGTATGTGTGTGTGTGTGTGTGTGTGTGTGTGTGTGTGTGTGTGTGTGTGTGTGTGTGTGTGTGTCCCATATGGTGTAGTGGTATGTGCAGTGATTTCCAATCCATAGGTTGTGGGTTCGATTCCTGACGATTATGGTCACACACGTCTTTCTTCTCTTTCTCAGACCCCTTCTGATTTTCCTTTCATTCACCTGGGTGGTTACAAACAGTCAGTGCATGCCGGAGTATGCGGTGTGGTGAGTGTGCGAGAAAAAATGAAAAAAGACCAAAAGGTAGGGATTCACTGGCTAAAAAAGCCACTTCGTAGCTGTGTGGTGTAGACCAGGCTGAATAGTGGCGGTCAATTCTTCAGCCTTGCAAGCTGTTGAATGGTGCAATCCCAGCACAAGTTGCTATGGCTTCTGCTGTAGTATCGCTATCATCGCCTCCGGCGATGGGCGTCAAATGGTCAAATGAGGAGTTTGTGCTTGTGCACTCTGTGTATGTGCGGGCATGTGTATGTGTGTGTGTGTGTACGTGCGTGCGTGCGTGTGTATGTGTGTATGTGTGTATGTTTGTGTGTGTGTGTCGCATATGGTGCAGTGGTATGTGCAGTCGATTTCCAATCGGGAGGTTGCGGGTTCAATTCCCGATGATTATGGTCGCACCCGTCTTTCTTCTCTTTCTCATTCTCCTAGCTCTTCTTTCATTCTACTGGGTGGTTACGAACAGCCAGTATATGCCAGAGTATGTGGTGTGGCGTGTGTGTGTGTGTAAAAAGAAAAGAAAAATAGGGATTCACTGGCTAGAAGAAGCCACTTTAATCACCTGTGTGGTGGATACCAGGCTAATAATTAGTGGCGGTAAATTCATCCGACTTGCAAGCTGTTAAATGGTGTAATGCCAGCACAAGTTGCTATGACTAGCATAGCTGTTCGCTATCATCGCTATCATCGCTTCCGCGATGGGCATGTCTGAGGTCTGAGGTCTGAGGTGTGTGTGTGTATAGGTGTGTATGTGTGTATGTGTGTGTGTAGGGTGTGTGTATATGCAAGCTTTTGTATGTGTGTGTATGTGTGTGTATGTGTGTGTGTGTGTGTGTGTTCGCGTCCATGCGTGTGTGTGTGTATGTGCAAGCATAATTTTGTGTGTGTGTGTGTGTGTGTGTGTGTGTATATATAATAATTATGTGTGTGCGTGTGTGTGTGTGTGTGTATATGCAAGCTTTTGTATGTGTGTGTATGTGTGTGTGTGCGCATGCACGCGTGTGTGTGTGTATGTGCAAGCATAATTTTGTGTGTGTGTGTGCGTGTATATAATAATTATGTGTGTGCGGGTGTGTGTGTGTGTGTGTGTGTGTGAGTGTGTATGAGTTCGTGCGTGTGTGTGTGTGTGTATGTATGTATGAATATGCATGAGAGTTGCATTGGCATACTGGTACTTGACTACAGGTCTGTTTGTTAGAAAACTTCATAAAGTTCTATCACAGCCAAACCACCAAATCTAGTTGTAAGTTGTCTACTTCAGGTACTGATGTATTACATATCTTACAGGTTTACACACACTTGAGAGGAATCAAAAGCGTTTCAGCGGTAACTCTGAGTTTCACGGTTTTAATCGATCATCAGACAACAACTCACAGGTGTATATTCTTCTATGTACACTGGTACTGTACAGGTTGTGCCATGCAGTGGTGAGACAGGATATGCGTTTGGAACGAGAGGTAGTGGTCAAGGCCAATTTCAATTTCCAAGAGGCATCGCAGTGTACCACAACAGGTTGTTTGTTGCTGACGAGGACAACCATCGCATCCAGGTATGTTATCATGTTAATCTGGCAACAACGTCAACAATGATGCCGAATACGACAACAACCGCAATGACAACGACGGCAACAACGATGATGACGACAGAGACGACGGCGACAACAACAACAACAACAACAACAACAACAACAACGACGACAAAAACGACAATAACGACAACAGCGACAACAACGACAACAGCGACAACAACAACAACAACAACAACAACTACTACTACTACTAAAACTACAGTACCGGCAACTGAAATCCGACCCCTGGGCGGTGGGTTTACATTCTAGCGGTCTCTGTTTCGTAGTTTTACCATCCCGTGTAGGGTCTTTGCAATGTGAGCACTGTGAGCTCAGGGGGTCGGATTTCAGTTGCCTGCACTGTAGTACAGCAGCAGCAGCAGCAGCAGCAGCAGCAGCAGCAGCAAGTTCAGCTTTATATTGTTGTGACAGGTCTTTGTAGGTGGTTGTTCCAAACTTTGATGCTTACACTTCATTCTGATTGACTTGACACTTGACTGACTCATGACTGCCGTCTAGAGCCCATGATCAGCAAGTGGAAGGTTTGACTCAGAAAATCTGCAAAAATGCCACCCTCTGCTATATGCAGTGTTCTGGGGAATTCCCCCTGTATCAGCTGAGCTTCAGAACGTTACTGTAATCTGTGCTCTGAGAGCACTGAAAAATGTGTTGCTCTCTGGCAAGAGCCGAGATCCAAAGTTTGGAGTAGCCAGCTTCTTCAATTATATCCACTGAAATTGCAATATCTACATGTAGATCTGGAATTATATTGTTTCTTTTTTGCATGTCTAGTGTGCATGAGACTTTACTGTAATTGACACCCCATCTATCGGAATATACACTGGACAAGGTCGGGCAGGAAAATATTCATCCAATCAGAAATGAATGTGTACGTCAGGCAAGTGCTTGTTGGCCATGTTCGCCTGTTACTTGTCCTTTTCAGTGTAAGAGTGTATAGGCTGATGTGAAGTTAGACTCTTAAACATCATGTCTATACATCATGTCACAAACCAAACAGTGTCTGTGCTACAATAAATACATACATAGTAATCAAATGTTGGTGCCAGGTCCATGTTTCACCTCAGGTTTTGAGTTTTTACAGTTGCACACCAGTAACCTTATCATCACTACAATAATGATGGTAGCTATGCACTGTGTGTTGGAGTATTATTCTTACACTCCTGTTATATCTATACTCTTGCTGTCACCACAGTGGTGTGTGTGAATGTTCAATTTTTTTATTCCTGCAAAAGGTGATGACCGTCGATGGAGAGTATATCACTTCATTCGGTTCTCGGGGCAGCGCTTTCGGGGTTTTCACTTCGTTCGGGTCAAAGGGCAGCGCTTTTGGTCAGCTGCAGGAACCGTGGCATGTCACTACAGATACCTACGGCAATGTTCTAGTCGTAGATCGAGGCAATGGACGTGTTATGGTAAGGGAGAGCTTGTTGTCGTGTTCTTCTTTCTAAATACCTACAGGCAGAGAGTAGTACCCAGTACATATACAACAGTGGAGCATGGTCAGTTTGTTGCTAGTCTGTGATTCATGGTCAGTGCAATCATCAGACAACACTGATATGAACACAGAAAGTGATGTACACTGCATGCACAGAGTACAAGTAAAGCAAGAGTACATTAGCTCTTACAGTTCAAAAAACAAGGGTACATTCTACTCTTACACTACTTTCTTGTATAAAAGTGTGTCTCACATGTAAGCTTGCAATGAATACTAGTACTAGCATGATTTGCAAAATGGTACCTCTGGCACATATGCTTTAGGGTTTACCTAGTGTCCATGCATACTCAGACTGTGTGGAGTGCTGAATGTCTGGAGAACAGAGCAAGGAATACAGTGGACACACATCAATGCTACAACCAAGTCCGGGACGTACTGTAGCTGTGTTCTTACTGTATGCTTGGCTTGCATGTTAACATTTAGAGAAATGCCTAATTTGATATACGTGCCATGTTGTGGTGGATTCTGTTTACGCCGATGTAAAAGGCCGTTGTTTGAGGTAACGTTACTGAATCCCTGACCGAAATTGTCTCCATGTTGCTGGTTTGACGCATATTCATCTTTCAATGAATGTAAACATACTTCAGAAGTAGCAAAGTGGTTTACACACCTAGCAGTAATACATCCAAAGAGAAGCCGGTGTGCCTTATACTACGATGGTCAAATCAACAGTAGTAAATGAGAAAGATGTTTCTATTTGGTGCCAAACAATTCAAATTGTTCAGATGGGGCTTTTTAGTCCAGTGCGGCTAATACTCCAGTGCGGCTTATACTCCAGTGTGGCTTGTACTCCAGTGTGGCTTATACTCCAGTGTGGCTTATACTCCAATGTGGATTATACCCCAGTGCGGCTTATATTCCAGTGTCGCCTATATTCCAGTGTGGCGTAACCATGCTAACCCATACCTTCCATGATACCATCAACCATACATGAATTGCGCATCATTCATGTACCACCCATACATCATCCATACATCACCATGCATCAACCATCTATAATACGTGTTATTCCTGTACGCTCACCAGTGTTGTCCATGTTCTCTGCAGGTATATGCCGCAGAAACATACACACCGCTGGCTGAGTTTGGAAAAGGAGAGCTGGACACGCCGATGGGTGTCTGCGTGACAAGTGAGGGCTTAGTAGCTGTTTCCTGTTATGGAAACCACAAGATTTTTGTGTTTTGAAGGTTTCTTGTTAGACACCTGTCATCAGTCACCTGCTCACACTTTTGTATGCATCATAACATAAATGACCATAGCGTGACACAAACTGTTCTTGTATCCCATCCTACTCCTCTACCCTCCCCCCCCCCCCCAACACAAACACACACACACACACAAGTACACACACACACACACACACACACACACACACACACACACACACACACACACACACACACACACACACATAAACACAACCCCTTAGTTGTACATCTTTGATAATTTTCAGTTGTCTTTTCTACACTTCTCGTTGAGAATTTAGTTTTCCTCCACTCATCCGCTGCCTTGCTTGGTGACGTGTTCTATCTTACAGCAGTCTCACATGAACTGAACACATCCCACGCATGTTATACCACATTACTTTGATTTCCTTAATGGATTAGGTAGATGCCGCAACAGTTATTCCACACCAGTTATTCTTAGATAGCTTCTGGTTCCCGGTGTTTATTAACCCGGGTATCTCAGAAAAGAACGTTTGCAATTGCTAGAATACAAATCTGTTCAGTGGCGGATATATTTTTGCATTGGTCCCTTCTTCTTTATTTTAATCCTTGTCTCTCCACCTGAGTTCATGATACATTATATGTAGGCTGTAATAGTTCTGAATTTTTTTAATTTTACTTATTGGATTGTTTTCTCGCAGATTAATCATATGATTAGGATATCTATGCAACAGTTAGTTTGAATTGTTCACATCGACATCACGTTTTCCTTGTACTGATTCTGTCCACTCACGTGGTTGGTGCACATGGTACATGGTGCTTGTGTGTGTGTGTGTGTGTGTGTGTGTGTGTGTGTGCGTGCGCGTGTGTGCGTGCGCGCGTGTGCACGCAGGCGTGCGTGCGCGTGCATGCACCCCCGTCCGCGTGCGTGTATGTGCATGTGTGTGTGCATGTGTGTGTGTGTGTGTGTGTGTTTGTGTGTGTGTGTGTGTTTACAAAACTCACTTCATACCTGTGTGGTGTGTACCACTACTAAGGCTAAATAGTTGCGGTCAATTCTTTAGCCTTGTAAGCTGTTGAATGGTGCAATCCCCGCACAAGTTGCTATGGCTTCTGCCGTAGCACCGCTACCATCGCCTCCAGCGATGGGCGTCGAAAGGTCAAAGGTGTTTGTGTGTGTGTGTGTGTGTGTGTGTGTGTGTATGTGTGTTGATACTGTTGAAAATAACGTGCAAGGTACCAGTGTTTGTAATGTCTTCTTCCATTAATGCAGTATCCTGTGTATAGCGGTGACCTCATAACGTGAACAGCATCCATACTGTATAGATAGTACTGTTTTGACCATAGCAAAGTCAACTCCTGATATAACCAACACCATTGTACAGGAGAGTTACTTCTCTATAGGCCAGGTTCTTTATAACCGAAATGCACTCACACCATACAAGCAACACAGCATGTAGCTCATGACAGTATGATTGGTTTAATATGTGAGACATTGCACTACCGGACGGGCAATGTACAGTTGTGGCAAGTGAAATCCGACACTTGCCATAGGGGACAGCGCCTCAAATGGACATCAATGATGTAATGCACTGCACCTAATTTGTACTATAGAGCCGTATGCATCACAAACAGGTCGAAAGGTCACAGCTTAGATACACGCAGTTCACAAACATGGTACACATAAGGAGTATTGGTATCCAATTCCCATTCATTTTTGCCAGCACCTTTTGAACCTTGACTGTGATGAGTACGAATTCTGTCATCAGACAGATAAAGTTTTATGCAGCACATGTACTGTACGTATGCAGGGCTGCAGAGGCTGCAGGATGCACGGTGCAGTCCCTTATGCCAAGTGTCGGACTTCACTTGCCACAACTGTAGTTAGCATGGCGCCCCACAAGATGAAGAGATATGGTGGTTCCTTATCAACGAAAATTATTTGATCTACTGTAAGGGATCTTTTGTTTGTATGAGTCTAAACAGGGACATGGACTCTGATTGGCTATGAGTATGATCACGAAATTCGCCAAGTGCGGGTGCGCTACAAGTGAAGTCGATTGCATTCTGACATATTCCGTGTGGTGTACACCTTGTGTGTATTGGGGACGGATTCTCAAAGCTGCGCCTTTCATGTGGATTGGGCGGGACAGGGTTATGTTTTGCTCATATCACCAAGAGCCCAATTGGCAGGGCCCCGGTCATGCGCCATATGAATCATATTATGAACGAGAGACAGTGGTAAATAATACCCCAGTTACAACTCTCTGATATGCCCTGTACAATCATATACATGCATGATCTTATCATCTTAGGGGTTAACTACACATTCTCACAGCTCTCTTCCAGATGAGTCAAAGAAAATGAGATTCTTACATCAGAATTTCTACGTTCCCTCGTCCTGGCTTGGTTGAGCACTCCTTCTCATTAGCGTCAATGTTATAATTATGCCCTCGTGCAAAACTCGCTGTGTTTATCGTAGTTAGAGCAATCCGACATTGATTCTTTGCCCCTCTCTCTCTCCCCCCGCCCCTCTCCCCCCCCCCCCCACACACACACACTACGTCTGAGCTCTGCTGAGGAGACCTAACATTAGGCTAACAATGTCTAAACAGCTAACTGTCTGGTGATTAGTATTATTTGACAAGTTCCTGTACAATATGTACATGGTATTCAGTCATGTACAGTCATGTACATGTACTGGAGTATCCTGATGACAGGGTACCACCTGCTGGAGGTGCATTGAAACCCGTGTTCCTGATTGCAACCGGAGACAGGTTGGTATAGGATCCCGGTCCTCCGACTACTCTGTGAACCGCGTGGAGTCATGCCCCGGTTAACCCCCGATTCGTCCTCTGTTGTGCCCAGGGAGTTGTAAAGACCTTACACAATTACCTGTCCTGCTCGTGATATGCTGTCATCATCATACATGTACCTGGTAAACTATCAAGTCAGGTGTATCGTCAGGCTCTCGTGCTCTATGGGACGGCATCTTGCTCGCGAAGGCCTTCCTACTTCTCAA